CCCCAAAACCCCAAAACCCCAAAACCCCATTTTGGTATAATAAAATTGAATAAAAGGAAGCATGCATCCTCGCTGTAAGATCTACCTAGGCTTAGCTTGTGTTTAAGATGCCGGTTATGAAAGGAACTAGGAGTTCTACAAAGATTAGGCTGCATTAAGTATTCAGAAGCTGTAGTCCATGATTTGTTCCGGATATAATCTGTAAATTCACTTCTTGTTAGCTCTTAAAATAAAATTATTTGGTACTTCCAACCTTTATTTTAAAATTTATTGGAGAAGACTTTAGACAGAAATAAGAAAAGCCCTGGTATGAACAATAATCTTGTATCTGCGGATTTAGTTATTTCAAACTTACTCCCTTAAAAATAATTTCCTGATTAAATTACGACTTAGTTTTGGAAACTTTTTATGTCTTTGAAGGGTTTCCCTAATTTTAGAGAAATAGATTATTTTTAAGATCTAAAGAAATCAGAAGGTACTCAGTTTAGAAGTAGAAAAATTATTGTTTTATAAAGATGCTGTAAATCAGGGTTATATTTTAAAAGTTACTGATTAGTTTCAAAATTTCTTTCAGTTTTATAAACAGTTTGATTGTTTTTAAAATTGGTGGGATCTAATTTTGGTAGTCAAAAGAATTTAAATAGGTTATAGATATTGCTAAGCAAAATACTCAGCAACCCACAGGGATAGAAAGATTGAATTATAGTATGGAAGGGTTAAAGCAAAACTCGTCAGGAATAAACAAAATAACTCAAAAATGTTACAGAAATATGGGACTCCTAATTTGAAGAAACTAAATCCTACGATATCTCAAAATCAAAAGGATACTATTAAAATCCATGACCTCCCCTCAATAAAGCAAAAAGAAGGTACTATTTATACTTATTTTATCCAAAATCCAATTCTAAACCCACTCCTTTACTCCAAAATACTTAAAACAAACAACAAACCTTCAAAATCCCATTTCTCTCAATTACACCCTTATCCCTTCCACAAAGCACTCCAAAAATCGACTGACTCAACCACCACAAAATAAGTTCAAACCCCCTTCTCACCCTCACAACCATTCTACGTAACCCCCTTCAAAAACCCCTCTAGGTCCAAACCCATTCACCCAAAAGTCCCTTCTCAGCCTTCAAATTGAGCTGATTCCTTCTCTGCTTCATTTACCACTTCTAAGAATAGGCTTCCAGCCTTTGAGAAATAAAGCACTTGAGAAACTTAAGAAGTCAAGATTGGGGAAGTGAATGAAGGCATGTGCTAGTGAGGGCAGGTCAAAGGGATGTAAGTGAGTGGAAGAGGTGAAAGGAGACTCAGAGAATGTTAAGAAGAGATTGGATGAAATTGAAGCAATTGTGATGAGAATTAGGTAAGAGTGGAGTGAGATTTTATAGGGATGATGGAGATCAGGTGATTAGGAATAGGTATTTTAAAGCAAGGAAGGAGAGGGAGGGTCAGAGAAGGATAGATTATGCCAGAAATTCGAGAATTCCATTAAAAGATCCTTACCAAAATATGAGTATGGATCGTAAACTAAGAAGACCTAAAAACAGAAAATTAAGCCACCATCTCCCTTACTCCAAAACAAACCCCATAAACCACCCCTCTTACACCTCTTCGTCCACTCTCCCAGATCATAACCCCTCTAAGTCCAGCTCCCTTCTGCACCCTCCAAAGACCTTGGCTATGTTCAAGCACAAATCTACCAGCACTGAGAACCTTTGTCCTCACAATCCTCAAAAAACTTAAGAGCTCAGCCTAAGATCTCACATATTGTGTCTTCAATTGAAAAGTCGCCTAACCAAGCTGCTCAGTCTAGAATAGGCAAGACTGGAAGAGCCAAAGCTGAAATTTTAGGTAAAGATAACAATAGTGGAAAAGAATTTTGAGGGGTTTGATGTGTGGCTGACAAAGGGATTGAAAAGAAGGGATTTAAAGGGATAAAGAAGAGTATTAGTATTAGAGAGATTAGAGGGGGATTGGGGTTTTGGGGTTTTGGGGTTTTGGGG